CACTTTAAGTATTTATCATTTTAGCCTCTTTAATACTCATCACAGGGTCGCCGCCATAGCCGAAGCATGCTAAAAAATGTGTCTGAAGACACCCTCAAAATTATACTCGAATGTACCCTAAAATTATACCCGAAGGTACACATTTATCATTTCTTTGACGTGCATGGGTACATTGCATCCTCTGTCAGTATCATATAGGGGTAATCTTGTATGATTTAAACATTTACATTTCATTTCATATGATTTAAAATCATTTAAAATGCATTTTCATATGTTCATTATTTTGCTCTCATTTGTGATATCATTTCAAACTAAAAAAATGCAAGACATGAAAAAAAAACTTGTTTTAAATCATTTAACAAAACAATTATTCATTTAAAATAACATAATTGAATACATAAAAGAAAATAATCACTCGCATTAACTTACAAGAGACTACTGAAATAATTTAACCATTCACTTCACTTCCTTTAACTAACAACTAAATTAATTAAAAGTTATTATAACTATAAAAATTACATCCTGAAGAAATTCTTATCAAAATATAAAAAAAATATTAAAACTCTAACCTCATTTAACGTTAGGATTCTTTCCCTTCCTCAAATCCCAAAGATTGATTGGATTCTTCACACCTCCCAATCTGAATAAATTTAATAGCATTAATCAATTCAAGTAATTACATCATTACTTCCATTAATAACAAAAGGTTTAACATTTACCTTAAAAGCTTTCAGGTTGATCTCCTCCCTTATCCACTTGCTTCACAAACTTCCTCTCCTTCGAAGCCGAAATCTCTGTATTAAAGTCCTAATTCAATAAAACTTCTCATTAATTAAATAGACACACACACATATATATTTATAACTATTCATAATATAATAAATATTAATTTATTAAAAAATTAAACTTACCTTTATAGAATTTTCGGCCTTTGCCCTAACCTCACGCATGTGATCGACTTAGCAGAGAGCCTTCCCTTCTTCCTTCGATCACATCTCACCCTGATGCGCAAACTTATTCTCTTCTTCGCATACGCGAGCACCGTAAGGACTTGGACTCGTCTTCTTCTTCTCCTACGCATGACTCGATGAAAGTTAAATTTCACAATTAGAGCACGAGCTTCGACTCTCGGTTCGATCTAGAGCCGCTCGCACACATCTTCTTCCTCTATGTCGACCTCATCTTCCACTGCACGCAAGCACGGTAGCAGTGCACGAAGTCGATCCTCTTTCCTCTTTGTTGTCGCTCAAGTAAGAAGCAACAACTTCGATCGGGTATGGTAAGTATCGCGTGACGAGGAAAATCACACAAACCTTCTTCCTCCTTCAGCTTCTTCCACTCACAGATAAGTCGCTCAACCCCTCTACGATCTCTCTGTTGTCTTTCGCTTGCTCGTTCGATGATTTGAATGAGAAGTGCGAAGGAATAGACAATATATTTCTTACGAGTGGAAGTGTCTCCTCTAATCGCCTGCATCTTTTTATTTATTTATTTATTATTATTATTATTATTATTCTTTTTATTTATTTAATTTTTTTTTCCAGCCTATTTTATTATTATTATTATTCTTTTTATTTATTTAATTTTTTTTTTAACTTTCTATTATTACACCGGAAGTTCCCCCATCAGTGTCTATCGCTACCCCTAGGTATAGAAGGATAAGATTGAGGGATTGATCTGAGAGATATTCAAGGCAAAGATCATACAATCTAGTGTGAGTCATTTCTCTCGCCTAATCTTGCTAATGAAAAAGAAGGATGGGAGTTGGTTTTTCTGTGTGGATTATAAAACAGTGAATAATAAAATATTACCTGACAAATTTCTCATCCTGATGAATATTGAGTTACCGAACGAGTTGTGTGGAGTTGTGGGATTCTCTAAATTAACTTTAAGTCAGGATACCATTAGCTTCGAATGTGGCTAACAGATCTATAAAAGACAGCATTTCAAACTCATTAGGGTCACTATGAACTTTGGTTATACCATTCCGGCTCACTAACACACCAACTACATTTTCAGTCCTCGATGAATAAAACGTTTTATCTTTTCCTCCGAAAATTTGTGTCTGTGTTCTTCGATGATATCTTAGTGTATAGTGTTCCTTGGATTATCATATTGATCATTTGAAGGTGTTGTCGGTACTCGATGAGCATGAGGCCTATCCTAACTTAAAGAACTGTTCAATTGTCCAGCCAAAAGTGGAATACTTAAGAAATGTGGTGTCGGGTGCAAGATTTTCATTGAATCCATTGAAAGTAACGACTATGTTAGATTAGTCACTAACTCAGACCTTCAAGGGGTTGAGAGGCTTTTTGGGACTTACAAGATACTATCGGAAGTTCGTGAAGGGTTACAATTCGATTGCATGGCCATTTACAAAGCAACTGAATAAGAATAACTTCTAGTTGGGGGAAGCAACAACCTAGGCTTTTGAGAATTTAAAGACGGCCATGATATGGTGTCAGTATTGGTGTTACCCGATTTCAACCGACCATTTATTTTAAAGACAGATGGTTCATGCTATGAGTTAGGTGCATTTCTTATGCAACATCAATGACCCATCGTTTACTTCAATCAAGTGCTACTTGCAAGGGCCAGACTCAAGTCAGTTTATGAGTTTAAGCTCATAGAAATTGTTTTAGCTATTCAGAAATGACAACCTTATTTGTTGAGATGACATTTTATAATATGCACTATCACGACCTGATCAAGGGCTTAGAATTAACCAAAGTTGGATACAGACGGTCAGATGGTAGGAACTAAGTTTTGTATATTCATTTTATATAACTAACATTTAACACATAGAATAGCTATTAAAAAATCAAATAAAAACAGTAAAATTAAATTTATGTAACTGCATTTTATTGGCGTCTTCCATAAGCATTATCTCTTCTATTGCTCATTTTTTGATAAATTAATTACACATGAAAATGTTAGTTTAAAACAATTGCGGGCTAACCAAAATCAGTGAATACTCACACACCTAAACTACAGTAATAAAAGTAAAAAGAAAATAATAAGCATGTCATTTAAGCGTTCAATAGATCGACATAAACATTTAAAACTTTAAGAATATTAAGTTATTCAATAAATTTTACTATATGAATAACATATTTATATCATTTTATATTTGTACAATCTCATAGGAACATCGTCTAAAAATTGTATCAATTAAAGTAATTCAATATCAATATCCTTTTTCATTTACATGCAAGGGTATCTTAACATTTCCAGGCTAGTATCATAAGGTGGCTCCAAAATCAATCATGCACATACAAGCAATGAATATAAACATATATGTGTTTCTCTCATTCAATTCAATTTTAATATATATATATATATATATATATATATTTCATCATAGTAAGTAGTTACAAATATATAATATTTAAAATAATGCGAACAATAAAAAAAGAGTACGTCAATTAGAATAAAGTTTTTGCAAGTATCATTAATTGCAAAATGGTTGAGAAAAAATAAAATATTACTGTTGATTAAAATTATGAGCATTTATCATATGAGCACTTATCATGATGTCGATTAAATTGTTATTTGATTTGTCTTGACGTCGATTCTTCTAAAATTGGAAACCTAAAACAAACATGACATTCATATTACTAAAATTTAATTTATTTATTATTTTAATTAATTATTAACATTACATTATTTAAGTAACAATTTCCATCAGTTTGCTTTATGAAATCTTAATTCTTTATTTTGCTATTAAAATTCATTAATTAAACTATAATATAAACCCAATCTTTACTTACCGAACTTTGCTCAGATCAATCTTCCTCTAGCTCCCACACTTCGCATCATTCTATTCCCCACCAATCTAAAATTCCAACTAAGAGTCCTAATTTTAATAAAAGTTTATATTAACATTACAATATATATATATATATATATATATATAAACTAAATTAAAATAAAACTATTAATTTTTACCTTTATAATCCCGGTCGAGCCCTAATCCACGTAAAAATTTTCTTCTTCCCCTTTCAGTACGATTCTGGTTTGGCTTCCTCCTACATGAGTAGCTTAGTACACACCTTCATAAAGTAAAGTTAATTAAATATTAAATTTACATTACTTAAGTAATAATTTCCATCAGTTTAGTTTATGAAATCTTAATTCTTTATTTTTCTATTAAAATTCATTAACTAAACTATAATATAAACCCAAACTTTTATTACCGAAATTTGCTCAAATCAATCTTCCTCTTCCTCTTCCTCAAGCTCCCACATTTCGCGTCATTTTATTCCCCTCCAATCTAAAATTCTAACTAAGAGTCAGATCTATAGATATAGATATAGATATATATAATAAATTAAAATAAAATTATTAAATTTTTAACTTTATAATCCCTGTGGAGCCCTAATCCACATGAAAATTTTCTTCTTCCACTTTACACGTGATTCTGGTTCGGCTTCCTCCTACATGAGTCGCTCGATCCCCTCACCTTCCTTTTCTCTCTTCGATGGTCGACTAGGGCATGATCGAAGCCCTTACGCATGCAAGGAAGCTTCCCTTTCATCTTTATCTTCTTTCGTGCTTGCCTCCTCCTCTGCTTGACTCGAAGCCCTTACGCATGCAAGGAAGCTTCCCTTTCTTCTTTCGTGCTTGCCTCCTCCTCTGCTTGACAGACGCCGCCTCCTCTCTATAGGCACTGACGCTGCCTCCTCTGCTCAACGACGTCTCCTCCCGCACCAGACCGCGGCGTCCACTTTTCCTTTGCACCATAGCTTCTTGACTCTACAGGTAAGTCAACTGTGACTATTTATAAGGCGAACTCACCTCTTTGAATTCCAACCCCCCTTGGTTCCTCTCCCCTTTTTTCGACTCTTTTTTTCCTCTCCCTCTCATCTGCTCTTCGTTTACTCTCCCATGGGTTTTTGAAACAGGACATCACAAAAATACAAGCAATTAATATTGACATATTTTAAAAAAAAACAGAGCCAGCAAAAATTAACTAATTTTCAATACTGACGAGCATTTACCAAGTTTTTGAGCATCACCAAACCATTTGCTCATCAGATTGGACATTCGTACGTTAATGAAAACTGCTCCAGATTCTTTGGCTAGTGCCTTAGCTAGCATTGTCTTTCCAGTACCTGGAGGTCCATAGAGTAAGACACCTTTCTGCGGGGTAAGTAACTTTCCATTGGAAAACAATTCGGGTCGCTTCAATGGAAGAATGACCAACTCAAACAACGCATTCTTGATTTTTTCTAACCCGCGAATTGAGTCAAACTCAACATCAATATGGTATGGATTTATAACATCACAGGCAATAATATCCTGCAATTTAGAAGAACATGACAACGTCAAACATTCCCTTACTACAATGAAGGTATCTAAAATTTAAAATAAAAGAAGATTTTATTTTTTATTTTTTTTGCAATTTGTATAAAAATATCAAACAATAGTGATGCAAAACCATTAAGGGTTTAAAATGAGATGTATGATGAAAACATATAAAAATTACAATCACCGGGTTACCAACTCTTAATTTTAGCAAATCAATCACTAATGTATAAACAGCAAACACACCTCATCATTCTAGAAAATAATTTGATAGTAGCAGAATTTTGAAATTTCACTAGGACAAAAGGTGAGCAAATATAAAAAAATTTAACAACAAGCACATTTCACAATATGAAATAAAATCCAACAAAATTACATTTGGCAAACTTTCTCACACACACCAGTGTGTAAACAGAATCCTACTCTACATTAATATTTGATGTCTCTTATTAGAAGCTCTTCTAGGATTGCGTAAATACTACACAAATGTTGGATCAAAATACTGAACTAGTTATCCCCAATATTTGTTATGGAATTAAAATCTCAAAACCTTTTTCTTAGCATTTAAGTCACAACCTTCATCACTGCATTACCTAGAACTAGTAAAACTTCATTGATGCAAGGCTATTTTTGTTTCACAGGAATTCTACACCAATTTATCTTGGCAATCAATTACTACCACATTTTTTGTTCCCATATATCACGAGTAAAATCATATTCCCTTGGTCTTAGGTTCATTTGAAAGCAAGACTAGTAACCCAACTGCAACGGGAGAACTACAAAATATCAATTCACCATAACGTTTGAATGGAAAGCACTACCTCAAGTATTTACAAATGATTTATACCTTCTTAAGAGAACAAAAAAATTTGATCATTTACATGGAATTGGACCTCAACAAGGCAATCAAACATTCAATACTTCAAAAGAATAGAACCCCTGGTGATGTCCTAGTTATGGAATTCCATGATTCCTGAAATGAATGACACATGCATGTTACTTCAATTGGCAAAGAAAATTTAGTATATGATAAATCAACCGCATTCTAAAGTCTATAAAACAGCCTAAATCGACGGATCAAAAATAAGATCTCAACTATAAAGCAAAAAGGACAATTCATCTTAAAAATACTTCAAAAAAAAGATCACTACTAATACATCCACATGGAGCGTGACAAAGATGAATTCCTCCTTCAAAGATCTGTTAAAAGGACCGAATTTATGACTTTTTTTTATATATTAAATGTTGAGTTTAATGCTATAATGATCTAAATTCTTAGAAAAAAAGGATTTTTATTTCATAAATGAAGCCATTCCCATTATTTGAAGGAAAGAAAGGAGAAAGAGAGTTACGGTGCTAATAACACCATTAAAGGTTTAACCCTACTAGCAAGGGCTGCCTGCATCAGACACCTTGATGCAAACTCACTACTAGGACCACAGGCAGCAGCACCCAATAGAAATTATTTATGATTCCAATATTACAAAAAGACTCAACATAAAAATTAAAGATGCTAAAAGCTTCATAGAAATTCATCAAGCAAAAGAAAGGTAACAACAGAAATAGAAAATTAAAAAACTTACTCAAATATCACTAAAAAAAAACTCTTATAACGAGTGTCTATTCACATGCATTCTTAGGTTTTACCTCATCTTCGCATGCTATTAAAGTTTCATAGATGTAGAACTACATCTCAAGGATTATCAATTTAAGAGTTAACGATCATATGCCAACTCTAAACAAATTTATTTCATAAATTTAATGTCCTGATAATAATAAAATAACATGTTTAATGTATACTTGACGATTATTACTGACCAAGAAAATATTCTTATAAATAAATTCCTCACACTTCGAAATATCATCCACACACCTAAATTAGTCATTAAATTGTAAAAAATTTAACTATGTATTCAAAATGCAACATTGTATTTTACTCTTCAAATTGTATATTTTAGGGATATGGCATATAGAGCATAACTGAACTTGCTAAAAAAATAGTCTCTGTCACCTTAAAAATCCAATGAGCGATGAAACACCAAACTATCTATTTGTATTATCTTCTCTTTATAAAGATTTTAAATCCAAGAAAGAAAGAATTTGCCTGTAGAATTTATGTCTTAGCCATCTTTGTTTTGTTACTCGCAATACTGTTTTTGCTTTATAATTCAAAAATATCAATATCAAGGAATTTCTTGTGATATTGTTAGTTAGCAAGAACACGAGCATACCAATTTTCAATAAATAATATAATAGACCAAGATCTTTATTCTCTCAAGCATAGTGACATCAAGGGACCAACCACTGAAACTAATATATGTGGGACTTGATAGTTTGTGCCCTTTATTAATTACTTAAAACATGTGTAATGAATCTTTGTATTAAAAGCCAACAATATGAAAATACCATCTCTCCTGACCTTTTTCAACATGATTAAAATCAATTCAATGTTGAAATTAAAAGAGTCAAATCAAACAATATCAAATAACTTTTTTAGCCATTCTATTTCATTAAGTTAATAAGAAAAATGAACAATATATGAGTACTCTTATGTACACACAGCTTAGCAAAATCAAATAATTGAATTAAAGAATGGCTACTTACTATTAAAAGACCTTTATTTTTCAAAAGATTATTTCAAACATTATTGGCAAAGCTACCTTAATAAGCACTCCATAATTAATTACCTACAAAGCAACTTGAGTTCAAGAGTCATGCAAAAGTTTTAGCTTAAGTTTCTTCTCATTATAAAACTCAAATAACCATGTTACCAAGATATTCGGAAGTACTTTCATTGTATGAACATTCTCCAGAAGGCAGAAAACTTTATCCAAGATCAATTAAATATTTTTTTAGCAACCGCTTTTTCACTAAAAAATGGTATAAATAAACCCCCACGAGAAAGGATGTCATGTTTAATGAAGAAATTTAGTTTTCTAATACTCACCATAACAAAAAATATATATCATTTACAAATGAATTTTTTCAAGTAGTTTGCCCTTTCTTATCCAGCATCCCAACAAACAATTCTACACCATAATCAACCAGTCTTATACAAATCAAACTTATATCAGAATCTCCTTCAACATAGTCATTACAGGTTTACACAAAATTAACATTTCAAACGACACAAGCCCAATTAGTCAAATCAATAATTGGAACTGAACATGCTGATAGAACCATTCAGCGAACAAATAAAACTACTTCAACTGAGCATGCCCTACACCTATTCTTATAGTATAACAATCTTTCTCATCATCATCAATCATTCCTTGCTAGCCTCCATACTACAATCTCTAAAATCATTTCTGCGGTTTTAAATAACAAGAATTAGAGTCATAATATAAGAAATGTAGTCCTTTCAAAAGATTCAAATACAAGAATTGGTGATACTAGCAAAAGGGAAGAAATTAATAAGCTGTAGATGGATCTTTATTGTAAAGTACAAATCTTATGACACATTTGAAAGGTATAAATCCCAAGCTAATAGCAAAATGCTACCCTCAAATATACAAGATTGATTATTTGAAAACTTTTTGTCCTATACTAAAATGTATATTTTTCAAATTCTGTTATCATTAGCAGATAACAAAGACTAAAAAATATAGCACTTCAATGTGCAGAATACATTCTTATATGGTGATCTAGAGAGGGTATATATGGAAGTCTCACCAAAGTTTGGCTCAAACATAAAACAAAAGAAATAAAAAAGCATTATATAGACTGAAGCATTGTCTAATGGCATGGTTCGGAGGATTTGCCAAAGTTATGCTCAGCATAAGATACAAATAGAGCTTAGGCAATGACACTATTTATGAAGCACATGGCTTAAGGAGAGATTTCACGCTAGTTTATGCCAATGACAACATCGTATTAAGTAGTGACTTGGAAGGTAAGAAAACTTTTAAAAAAAAGTTGGTCCAATAAATTGAAGCAAAAGAATTAAGTAAGCTGAACTACTTCCTTAATATTAGGGTTGCAAAAGAACCAAGCGTTCAACAAGCAACTAGTGACTCGGTTCGATTAAAGCTCGTTCATGATCATTTGAATATTTAATCAAATAAGCTTGAACACTTCCATAAGTACTCTATTACTAAATAAACAAGATTAAATAGCTTGTTGTTTGGTTCAATTATGTTCATGAATAATATCATTTAAAACTCGTGAATAAGTTATTGAACAAACTCGATTATGCCTCAAATAAATCACGTATATAAACAGTATCATTTAAATGTTCATTTTTATGTTCAACAAGAAATTTCTTTATATTGCTTGCTTGTTTTGCTCAACATTGACCATCTGATGACCCACTTAAAAGAGTAGATGTTTTAGAATTGACTTGTGTTAAGAATGGTAGAGATGGACCTAAGAAGAATTGGGCATGTTGTATAAAAAAAATCTTAATTTATTAGAATTAAATGAAAATATGAAATTCATAGGACACAATGGAGAAAAATATTCATGTAGTTGAACACTTGTTGTTTGTTATTTGTTTATTTTTCCCAACAAGTTGCTAGTATAAAGCTCAAGTAAAGCTCGATTAAGGCTCAATTATGACTCATTTTTTTTGTTAGTTAAACTATTCATTAATAAGCTCAACAAGACTATATGAACAAGGCTCGAATCTAGCTCGAATTGAGCTCAAATAGGGTAGCTCAAAATGAGCTCAAATAGTCTTAAAAACTTGAATCAAGCTCTATTTAAAGCTCGAGCTCGAACATCCACATGCCAGGTTTAGCTCGATTCATTGCAGACCCAGTTAACATTGAGGTTGCACACTTCGAACATGGGATTTTTATATCACAATAGAAATACATAACAGATCATCAAAAGAAATGAACAAGTAGGGATGCATGCCAATAAAAAACTTATGGAATTTAATTATATACTTGGAAATGCTCCAAAAGACGCAATCATAGCAAAAAAAATCCTATAAAAATATTGTTATAGAGCTCATCTATGATTACAAACTATACTTAATATTGATTAGTGTTGGTGTGACAATCAATTCGTAAACAATGCTAAATAATCAGAGCTTTGGGTCATACAACAAATTTTATAATATCTAAAGGCGTTGAACTCTAGATAAAAATATTTCATTCAAAAGAGGGGTTATATATTTGAAGCCTTTACTGATGTAGATTAAACAAGATTTATGATTGATAAGAGACCAACTTCAGGATATTATATATTCTTAAAAGGCATCCTAGTGCCTTCAAGTAAATAATAACATATGATAGCAAGATCTAGTACATGAGCTAAATTAAATATATTGAAAGATATTCTTGATGATTTTAAAGGTCGAATAAAAATTTTCTAAGCGGTTCGATTATGATAACAAATTGTTCATCAATGTGCAGATAATCCCGTGCAACAACACCAAACAAAAAATAATAAAGTAGATACGCATTTTATAAAGTTAGATAGTGGCCTAATTTCTACCTCATTCATCGCCACAAAGGCCAACTTGCAGACATTCTCATTAAAAGTAACAATATTTCAAACCTTAACATGTAAACTCCAAATATTTAATATCCATTCATTCACTTCAAGTGTGGAAATATATTATTCATTAAGTCCACCTTCATTTATTCATGTTCCACTAACTCCATTAGTTTTCCAATAAGCTCAGTAGTCATTCACTTTTTTTATTCATATTATGACAAATCAGTGATACGTGAGATTATTACCATAACCCCATCAATTCACAAACCATTATAATTATTATAGAATTCTTATTTTATGTACTCATCAATTTGTGGATTATTGTAATTATTATTCCTTGTTTTAATAATTTCCTATCAAAAATTCTCCTAAAATTGTATCAATACGGCCTAAATATTGAAATGAAATATCCGATCAATTCTTGTCAATTATAATTGTATCAATACAACATAAATATTGAAATGAAATATTCGATCTATTCTTTTCAATTACAATAGATTATCAACGTAACGATTGTATGTCTAATTTTATTCTCATCGGTATCTAATGCTTTAGAGCTCCTTCAATTTCATGTGATCTTTTTAGATTCCTTAGTATCGCTTGATATTGTTGTTGAGGTTTCATTAGACCCTCGTGACATTATTAGAAGGTAGATCCATATTTTAAATGAAAATTATCAATATATATATATATATATATATATATTATAACAATGGGTATTGGCAGACAACTTTCGCAGAACAAAGACCTTACTATTGCAATCACTGTAAACTGTTTGGGCACACACCTACCAAAAGCTTCATATCTTATCCACATTTGAGATCCAACCTTCTTGTGCATTTGGATTCTGCAGTTCCTAACAACATCATCCAAGTTGAGGAAAATATAGCAGAAACTAAAGATATTCCAGAAATGTTAAATGAAAATTTGTCTCATCAGGCTATTCCTCACCAACCAGTTTAACAGCTCCTTCCCACAGTGTTAAGGCAGTTCTTCGTCAGATCATAAATACTAAGAAGTTGGATGTAGCATATGCTAGCCGAAGTGTTTTGGAAACACCTATTACGAGATAAGATGACACTCAAGTCCTGGAGGAGTGTCATGATCAAGGTGTGTTGCAAGCTGAGACTGCCCTGCAATTTATGGATCAACATACACCCAGGGTGAGCTCTCCATCAAAGATCCACAAATTGATCAGATAAATGACAAGTTTATAAATCTATGAAGAAGAAAAAAAAAGAAAAAAAAAAATGTTAGAACTCAGGAATTTTCAGGATGACTGTTTGATAGTTTGGGTGGAAGCCCACATTTTAGTATGTTGTTGGACTCCCTCCCTAGAACCAAGGGGAGCGGAACTAGTAAATCCACCCACCATGATTAGGAGTATTTCATAATTTTTGGGTATATGAGTATTTTAAAGCCTCTTTTTGAGTGAGTTGTATCCCACTCACTAAAACATTTGTATCTTCCCTTTTACATCAATGAATTTGCTTTTACATAAATGAATGTGTCTTTTTTCTATATATATATATATATATATATATATATTAATTGTAACTATTATCTTTTACTTATTCATCTCACTCGAGCAAGATTTTTTGCAACATTACTAATATTGTACATGTCCTTAATTAAAAACATGGAAATAAAATTGATTATGAAAAGTTTATTTTCTATTACTTTTGTTATAAGGTATGTTCTCTTAAATTATTTTTCTACTAGCTATTAAACTCTTTTTTTTTTTTGGTAATGCTTCCCAACTTTTGAATGAAATTGCCCACTTTGTACGACAATATTTAAAGAATATATTTTGGGGCAGTATAACTTTGGTAGCATATAACCCAAAGTACTTACTTTGGCATAGATATTAATGATACCTTTCACGTCTTTATTGAAAAAACTATTGGGTAGCAAGCATCCACACCAATGAGAAGAGGCATTTGGCAGGAAGAGATTGAAAAAATGGTCAATAAGGGAAGTGCTATGAGTCCTTTAGGTAAAGCCATTAATAAATAGAACTATGCATATGATATGAAGAATAATAATGTAGACTAGAAGAATGATTTATGGCATGGTAATGACAAAAAAGGTATAGGGAAACCTTTATTAAGCCATACAATGGCTTGACAATCACTTCAAAAAGGATGATGATATTCTAAATAAGCTCAAAGCTTGAGAGTCCCCCTACTAACTTAACGTGAATTTTCTTTAATCTAACCAATTATTTTAAAGCACTTGATATTGCCACACAATTTCATTCAACAAAAAGCATAATAATTAGGGTAGCAATTATGTTAATGTCGAAGATGTTTTAGTTAAAATACAACAAAACAAGACAAGTAGTGTTATGTATGTATGAATGCCTGCGTATGTTTATGTATGTACGTCTGTGTATGTGTATGTATGTATTTATGTCTGCATATCTGTATGTATGTATGCATGTATGTATGTATGCATGTATGTATGTATGCATGTATGTATGTATGCATGTATGTATGTATGCATGTATGTATGTATGCATGTATGTATGTATGCATGTATGTATGTATGTATGCATGCATGTGTATGTGTATGTGTGTATGTACGTATGTATGTATGTCTATGTATGTGTATGTCTGTGTATGTATGTATGTTTGCGTGTGTATATGTAAATGTATGTATGTATGCATGTATGTATGTTTGTGTATGTATGTATGTATGTTTGGATGCCTGCCTGCCTGTATGTATGTATTCTTTTGGACTTGAGTTTGCTCCCTTGAGCAAAAGGAGGACCGAGAGGAATAAGAAGAATGAAGGTAATGAAAATTTTATCTATTAAGTAAATGGCCGATTTTTAAGAACAAATAATAAGAGAGCAACCTTAATCATTGTTATAAAGAAACATAATAACAAAAATGTCAACGAAGTTAGGTAGAAATTGGTGCCTGTGCACCTTTACTAGTTATTCGTAAGTTTTCAATAGGAATTCATAGATTTGTCTGTGAAAAAGGAAATTTTGAGGTTAGTAATTATATTCAAAGAAGAAGTGATAATTATATTCCCTGTTGTAATACAATCAATGTTACCGTACGATTAACCTTCCATAAGAGGCGTAGCCAAACGAGCTATTATTAAAGCTACAAGTCCTACTCTGAAAGCCAGGTAACTATTTATCCCAACGCTTTCCCAAGTTTATTCACCCTTAAAATTACTGTAACGAAGACAGTAGAAAATTAAGTATAAAAAACGATTTCCAAACCCCGATTAGGCTGAGAGCTAAACACCATTTACCGAGTTTCACAGAAATTGGACTCCTCCATTAATTCCGAACTCCCACAAAACACGTCGCTCGTTTAATTGTCTCAACCCAGCAGCAACCATTAAAGCAAAGGAAACCTAATCGGCCGAAAGACCAAAATATATTTATACAATCAAGAAAACAAACAATGGGTTAAGACACCTCGTATTGGTTAGTCTGGATGCAGGGGCGGCCGAGTCGCTTGGCGATCTCCTTCTTCTGCGCGAGGGCTTTCTTGGAGGCGTCGCGGTTGGGGTCGAGATGACGGAGCCCCATAAAGAGGACGAGGCTGCTCAGCGCAGCACTAGCAGCGTACAGAACCAGCTCCTGCACCAACCTGGCCTGCGAATCCTTCATCTTGCAAGCACGCGAGCGAGAGGGAAAACAGAGGAGAGAACTCGTCCAGGGAAGATTTTCATGATTCCCACTCAAATCTATTTATTTACATTACTTGCACATAAAATTTTATTTATACATATACAAAGGGATGTAAACGAACCGAACACGAACGAACAAAATTTGTGTTCGTGTTCAGTTCGTTTAAAATTTAGTCAAACAAAGCTCGTGTTCGTTTCTTAACGAACGAGCCGAAAACGAGCTGTTCGC